CGCGATTTATTTGGCCTCGCCAAGTACATGTACAACATACGCCGTTTACTTCCAAGCACCGCCGTTTTCGGAGCGTACTCATTGTGCATCTGACTTCTTTCTCCAGTGTTTGGGTCTCCTTGGTATTGGTTTTCTTCTTCTTGACTGAACTTGTAGTTTTTGAATGGACAATGGTGGTTTGTGTTGTAGTAGTGTAAGCGTGTGCATGGTTGCAAAGGTCTTCTATAATCAAAACGATAATATTTGACCTAAACCATGAAACGTCTCTGAGTAACAACAAACGAGCCTTTCCTCTCCTTTGCGTACCCCTGTGTACGTACAACTCTGGATAGAGGGCCAGGACATGGGATTGGGCAAGGCTGTGACGAGGGCATGGGATGGGGGCAGGGGCATGGGATAGGGGCATGAGATGGGGGCAGGGGACAGACAGGGGATAGGGGTATGGGATGGGGCAGGGAGGGGCAGGGGATGGGGCAGGCCAGGGAGGGGCCAGGGGGGGGGGGAGTTCTATTCGACCAATACTAACGTTGCAGCCGGTGCGGACTCAATCTCCGTTGGTGGTGCAGCAAGAATGTTGTCCACCGAGTCCAGAACGGAACCAGCAATCTGTGGACAGACGCACAGACAGATGGACGTACAGACAGATGGACGCACAGACAGATGGACGTACAGACAGATGGACGTACAGACAGATGGACGTGCAGACAGACATACGTACAGACAGATGTACAGACAGATGGATGTACAGACAGGTGGACGTACAAACAGACAGACGTACAAACAGACAGACGTACAAACAGACAGACGTACAAACAGACAGACGTACAAACAGACAGACGTACAAACAGACGGACATACAAACAGACGGACACACAGACGAAGACAGAAAAACATGCATACATGCACTCACGCAAACATGTGTACATGTACATATATACATACACAGATGCAGAGTTGTGTTCATATCAAAAGATACTCTGGCTTCGATGGATTAACCACTTCACGTCTACTCAGAAGGACGAAACACAACCACACTCTCGTCCAAATCCCCCAAAGGCCATGCACATTAGTTTTACTGGCAAATCACAATCAATACACAGATACTTTTAGTTATTGCTGTACTGGCATCGTCTCACCTCTCTCCCCAGGGTCTGATTGAAGTCTCCATCACTGCTGGTGGCCAGAATTAGATTGGACAATGCGGTGGCCGCAAAGTCGATATCGGCTTCGGACAGCGACGAGGCGTTCTTCGTCAGGTTGCCAATGGTTTCTGTTGTCATGACGAGGACCGTTGGCTCACTGGTGTTGAACACAATCTGTAGACACCGAGGAAGACAAGAATATAGGTTAGCTGCACCGGTACATTCCGTTCGGCAATGAAGACCATGCTCCATACAACCACCTCACAACCAAATCTGAAGCTATTTTAAAAACACCTAACCCAATCTAAGATAAGTGAGATAACTGTAAGGACAATGAAAGATAAGTGAGATAACTGTAAGGACAATGAAAGCTACGCAGGGCCGCTGGAACCGGGTCCGGTTGGTCAGGTTATCACCGGACCAACGTTTAGCCACCAACAGCTGTTTAGTGCTATGAATGTCATGTGACAGTGTACCCGCCTCATATCATACGCGCACTGTATGAATGTCATGTGACAGTGTACCCGCCTCATATCATACACACACACTGTATGAATGTCATGTGACAGTGTACCCGCCACATATTATACGCGCACTGTATGAATGTCATGTGACAGTGTACCCGCCTCATATCATACACACACTGTATGAATGTCATGTGACAGTGTACCCGCCTCATATCATACACAAACTGTATGAATGTCATGTGACAGTGTACCCGCCACATATCATACACACACTGTATGAAAAGGCACTGAAACTACCCGACCAATCAAAAACTGCTTCCGGCCCGGTTGTGAAACTGCAAAACAAAACCTGCAGCACAGGGATTGGAACCAGAGACCTCCACCAAAACCATTAGGAGTGAGACAGCAATACTCACTAGTTACCGCTGACATCATTATGATGTCATGATGATATCGTGACCGCCAGTTTAACGTATGGAGGAGCGTGGCTTGAGCGGGCCGGTTGGAGTAGCGGCTCTGCTCCATTGTGCCCCCCCCCCTCCCCCCCCCCCCCGAATCTCCACATTCATCCTCAGTCAATAACAGATACGAGCCTATCGCACAATGGTGTAGTCTGCCCCCCCCTCCCCTCCCAAACCAGCACAACCATGCACCTAAGCATGATTGTGTAGGGTCACACCTTGCGTACTGAACAGTACAGTGCGGATCCTAGTGAACACACAGCGATTACCCATGCAATCCATATCAGCAATGCCCAATGGGGCTAGTTTTACTCACGGATGAAATCATCTGTAGTTCTCTAGTGCTGGCTGAAGCGAATGGACAGTCACTAGTGTTAGCCATGGCCCATGTGGACATGAAGACGTTTGGACGACTGGTGCGGGGACTGGACACGCACATACGCCTGGCAAACTTTGGTGCCTCATTCTCCACCACGATACCGCATGCTTGCACACTTGTCGTTCCCCGAACTGTCTCTGGCCAGACTACACTGCCCCGGAGATCAGTAGTGACTTCAGCTGGGCATACATCTAGAAGAAACGAAGGCCGGAAAAGAGAGAGAGAGAGAGAGAGAGAGAGAGAGAGAGAGAGAGATACGGTCAACCCTGTGAATAATGACCTCGTTACTCGTATAACAACTCATGAATAATGACACAATCTTCAGGTCTATCATCCGTTTCAAAAGTCCAGACCTCTAGTTTCAAAAAACCGCTGGGCCAGCATCTATCCTGCATAAAATCTGTGAACACTTTGTGCATAAAAAAATCCAAAATTGGGCGTTTGTTTTCCAATCGTTTAGAAATATATATGAGGAAAATTGCGTGAGCTGCCTGAGCAAAATTCCGAAGAAATTTCTCCAAAAGCCCAAGCCAAAATTGAATTATTCGAAAAAGTCTAGATAGAGGTCTTTACTTTTGAAATGCACTATAATGACCACTTGACTGTCAACTTTTGATCTCACGGATAACAACAACAACTCGTGAAAAGCAACATTTTCGTTATGCACGATCGAGGGTTGACCGGAAGACACTGCGAATACACACGCCTGTTGAGACATTGAGCTAGAATTAGCCAGGATATTTCATGCCACCAATTGATCTTCAGACAGATTCACAGTACGCTCTCCAATAGCTGTCTCTCTTCATTATAAAGCTTGCTACAGCCGTGCCCAAGCCTGCGCAAATCCCACCCAACAAAACGCAAACACCTTTGCAGCCCCATTGCCTTCCACACACATGTACTGTATTTTCCCGAATATAAGTCGCACCTTTTTACACAAAAATTCAAGGGTAAAAAGGGGGTGTGACTTACAATCGAGCATGACTTACTACAGTCAGACCTCGCTTAACCGCACACATCTGTTTTCCACAAAAATATCCGGATAGGCGAGGGAACCGGATAACTGAACACACATACTGTATATGCATGTGGCATGTCAAAAGCAGTGACATCGTACATACATGTAGACGGGTCCTATGCAGTACAACTATCGTGCACAGTATGTAAAACAAGTGAGAAAAATGACAAGTGCATGCAACTAAGTCCTGTCCACATGCACCCAGCAGGTCAAGGACCTCATTTGCCTGTACAACTCCCTGATTCTAGCTTTTGGAAGCCACATGCAACCGGATACGACGAAGCTTTTTGTACACATTTTAACCAGTTTGTACACAAAATCATGCACCGGTATGCGGATCGCGAGGTCCGGTTATGTTGTATGCATAACATATGCTGCACATCGGTAACCAGCGATTTTCTTCCGGATGGCGAGGGATCCGGATAAACGAGGACCGGATAAGCGAGGTCTGACTGTACTGAAGTGATCATATCAAAACAATATTGCTCAAACCTGAAAATGGAGGTGCGACTTATAATCGGGAAGATACGGTATGCATGCTCACACACACACATACACACACGCACGCACACTCGTACGCGTGCACACACGCACGCACACACGCACACTCGTACGTGTGCACGCACGCACGCACACACGTACGTGTGCACGCACGCACACACACATACACACAAACCATAATATCCCAAAGCTTTCACCAACCACCAGTCCTGGCACCAGTACAATGCAAGCCTGCAAACACCATCACTCACCATAGCTGAGCACATACACTGGTATAGCATCACTCACCATAGCTGATAACAAATACTGAAGTAGCATCAAGTGTAGCAGGCGAGCTTCGTCCAGCCTGGATTTCTGTGACAAGATACAGACGTAGGCGGTTAGCGAAAGATCCATTCCCTGACAATGCTGATACGGAACTGCTGGATATCCGCACATCCATTTCCACAAAGACCGGGTTCTGCAGTGTAACTCCATTTGCTCTGGACAGGAAGGGGACACAAATCAACAGAACAAAATAAAATAGACTGATCGTCCATACGTTGCAACCCAGGGGCAGATCCATGAGGGGTTCCAGGGGTTCCGCGAAAGCCCCCCTAAATTTCGTAAATGTACTACTGGCAACCATATGCGTGTCCATGTATATGTATTAGCTATTCAATTTTGACTATACTGGAACCCCGCCCCGCCCCCGTAGAGATCGCTGGATCCGCCGCTCCAACTGGTATTGGTGAAGGGAAGAGCTTTTGACTGGTGCCAACCACCTCGTATGCAGAGGTATTTAGTGACCCGGCGCCTTTTCTAATGCCTAAAACTGGGTGTTGACACATTACAGAGGTCTGGCTATACATGTATAGGGGGAATTGCATGCCATCGTGGATACCCATACATGTACATAACACAAACCATGTCTCACTAAACCATCAGTGACAACTTACCTGAACTGTATAACTTGTGCAGATGGCAACTCAACAGACACGGACGGTATTGCCTGCAGCAGTTGTTCAAGCTGTACACATAGCAATAAGAGAGAGAGAGATTGGAAGATATCTCTTGTAATGGCATATTGCCACGCAGGACTGAAGAAGGTTGTGAGGTGAATATTTCTGCAACTCTACACTGTAATCTAACACAGACGCGTGACGGAAAGGACGGAATCAGTTTGGTTTGCGTCTGTGAACTAATGCAGAAAGTAACGCTAGGGTGGATGCATGGTAGAACTATACAGCAAAGCTGGTCTTACCGTTCGTTGTACGTCAGTAGCCACACTGCTGCTTGACACTCCGCTGTAGTTGCCAGAAACCTTGAAGTCACTGGAATCTGAGAAATAGGAGTACGGAAGTTTCAAGGTCAAATGTATGCAACACATGATATGTGGAGTTGCTAATGCACACACGTTTTTCATATCCTTCAGACACAGACCCAAGGTGAAGTCCAACAAACACAAGATGCAAAGCTGGCATCCTGAGCTAGTTGCCATGACAGCACTGTCTTGCCTATCAATGTACTTGAAGCCTCTTGTAAGGGCAAAAATCCCACCATGAAGCGTTGAATAGAAAATGTCCACACATTTTTCACGGTCAATATTCGGATACAAAAACTACACGTCTATGTGAGAGAAAAGCACCCGGGAAAGTGCCCCAAACAGCGAGTGTTCGATGATACGGCTACGTTCCCAGACATGCGAGATAACAGTAGATTCATAGATGTCACTTCAGCAAGGCAGGGCGACAGCTTGTCAGCTGGACAGGTACTTTCCCAACTCTACATGAGTAGCTGTATACATAGCCATTCCAAGGCTTTTCAGTAATTTGTCTCTCGCGTTGACTTGGATAATCTTAGAGGGTAACAAGCACCCAAACCTGAGATGATAGGAGACCCCTTTCCCTTACAGCTACTTGGCAAACCATAGCAGTTACCTACATCATTCTGAGAAGGTGTTCTAATGCAAGTAGTATACTTACCAAGTACAGCAAGTTCTACATCGGAGTAGGAGCCCTGCAGGTTGGCTATATTGGTGGCGATACACCGGTACAGTCCACGATGGCAGTCCTGTACCTGGACTATCACCAGAGTTGTTGTGCTGCTGCTGTCGTCCGTTACCGTGAACGGACACGATGAGTCGTACACCGCACATCCATCTGCAGCCAGCGATGATGTCATGGTGATGTCATCGCTCAGCTTGCACCATCGCGGGGTAGCCTGCGGGTATCCTCGGTAGCTACATGTTAGCCTGACTTCGGTGCTGGCAAAGACATTGCGCAATGTGGCCGCTAGGGGATCAACGGCAGCTGGCACTGCACACGCAAGAACAGACGCAGAACAAAGGAACACTGTTTTGTGCTGTAAAGTCTGTCTATATAAAACTGGCGCTCTACATTTTCGTGTCTTGCTGGTAAAGGGATATGCATACTGGTAGGGTTTACCGGGTGTTAGCGGCCGTCGTGAGTTCCCTTCGGGAACGCACACGATAATATACTTTATTTTTTACTGGTAGCGCAAACAACTAGTTGTTCATCCCGCATTGGTTCACCAGTGCAGTTCTTCCATGCTACAGCCAGGGCCAGAAAATCTACCGTACTTCCGCACATATAAGCGCATGTGCTTATGTCCGGACAGAAGCGCACCCCCCCCCCCCCAATTATAAGCGCATGCGCTTATATGTGAACACTATTGGTGAAACACCTGGAAACTGAATATACTGCTAAGCATTGTGATAACACCGTTGTTTAGAACACAGACAAACCGTTATTGCACATATAAGCGCATGGGCTTCTACCTGAACATGTTCACACCGCAAAAAATCTTTTTTGTAGCAAATTTTCACTTGTAAGCCCATGCGCTTATATGTGGGAAAGTACGGTAAGATTACGGAACTAGAAATTCAGGCACATTCTGCCAAAATTAGGACAGATACACCATGGCAAATACCGGTATATGGAGCAGTCTATCCCCGGCTAACCCAAAGTTTTGAATTTGAAGTGGGGTTTGAGCCTAATTTGGCCAAGATCGACCTTTCAAAAGCTAGCCTGACCATTCTATCGGGATCAACTGCAGAGAACACACACACACACACACACACACACACACACACACACACACACACACACACACACACACACACACACACACACACACACACACACACACACACACACACACACACACACACACACACACACACACACACACACACACTCATGCATACACACACACATACATACATACACACACACACACATACTCACGGTAGCAGGTCGTTCCGTTTCCGGTGGTCCCGTTGAAGCATTCACAGCGGACTCCACCGGCAGTATTGACACATCTTGCTCTGGTTGGCACATCACAATCGTTCGCACCCGTTACACACTCATTGATGTCCACACAGCCATTGTGCCGGTCTCCACTAAAACCAGACTGACATGTGCAGTCAAAACTACCTATAGTGTTCAGACAGTTGGAGTTTGGTGGACACACACTCACACCTGCTCGACTACATTCGTCTTCATCTGTGCATAGCATTTCAGTGTTGACAGTGGTGGATACATAGCCAACATCGCAGACACACTGGAATTGGTCAACGCCGTCGCGGCACATGGAGTTAGCAGTGCAGTTGACGCCAATGCAGTCGTCAATGTCTGGAACAGAATACAACACAGATGCGAAAAGGGTGCTTATGGCATATTTTGGTCAAATTGAGATAAGGACTCAAGCAAAATCTATAGGCTTTTATGCTTCACCTCCAAAAAACCGGACTCAAAAATCCAAACCCATTATGAAGATATCGTCAATTTAGGTCAGGAGACAAAAGAATTTCGTTCAGAATCAGAACGGAGCTCGTGAGAACTGCGCCACAAAAAGGCAGTTTCTTTTGTATGTAAATCCGCCGTGCTTTGGAGTTTCAGGCCGGTTGAAGTATCTACGAAAAGCTGGGAGTCTCAGCAGTGCGCTAGTGTACATACCAGCGCCGGGGGATGCACACTCATCCCGCAATGATCGAAAAAATGACGTCACATCAAGATTCACTCTTGCATGTGACAGGTACTTGACAGCCTGTCACTCTGACGCACTTTACTCTATTTGCTCTGTGATGCCATAAGCACCCTTTTCGCATCTGACGGCTAACCGGCTAATACGAGTAAAATGATCAACAGGCAAATATTCCTATACACAATGTACACCATGATACGAATACTGTCGCATACATGCCGACAGACTGACAGGCAGAAAGAAAGACAGACAGACGGACACACACTCTCTCTCTATCTACAATTCTCTCCCCCCCCCCCCCCAACACACACACCTTATCACAAATGCACATAGAAAGCAGCTGCTGAGAGCATTGATTCGCCCTGTATAACCACACCAAATTATCATGTACTGATTTCCCATGAAAATTTCTACCAGCTAACAACTTTCTGACTTACCCACTTCACAATTCTGGCCGGTAAAACCAGATTGGCATTGACATTGGTATGCATCCGCCATGTCCATACAGACGGCATTATTGAGACAAGGCATTCCAAGACAGTCATCCACATTGACCTCACAGTGCACACCCGTAAAGCCAGGTAAGCACTGACAAGTGTAGCTGTTTACACTGACACTGCCACCACCACCACCACCGCCGCCGTCCTGGGGAATCCCCTCCGGAACGCACACACCGCTGTTAAGGCATCTGGGCACGGTCAGTGCAGGATCAGTACACGAGTTGTTTTCATTCTCACACAGCACACCAAAGTAGTCCAAAGAACACGTGCATGCAAACCCGTCCGTCAGCTCCACACACGACTGGTTGTTTTGACATGGTTCACTGGAACACTCTAGTATGTCGGTGTTGCACAGCATGCCACTAAAACCCGGGAAGCAGTCACAGGAGAATGCGTTGACGGCATCATTACATGAACCATTCACACAGGGTGTGGACGCACACTCATTGATGTCAACCGCACACGTCAGACCCGTAAAGCCAGGAGTGCACGAACAGGTAAAGCCATCGACGTTGTCGTTACACGTGCCATTCACACAAGGCATGGAGAGACATTCGTTGATATTGACCTCACACAGCACACCTGTATAGCCTGCACTGCATACACACTGGTAGCTGTTGACCTGGTCTACACACGTACCCTGTACACACGGATCAGACTCACACTCCTCAACATTGATCTCACACGTCAAACCAGTGAAGCCGCCATTGCAGACACACATGTATCCGTTAACGCCGTCCACACACGTTCCGTTGTCACAGGGCGAGGAGAGACACTCGACGATATCAGTTTGGCATTGCAGTCCAGTGAAACCGGGAATGCAGTCACAGCGATATGCATTGACCAAGTCCGTGCATGTTGCATTGTTTACACACGGCGCGGACGTGCAATGATCAATGTCAACCTCACATTGAAGTCCGGTGAATCCTGGTTCGCACTCGCACCGATATGCGTTAACGAGGTCCACGCATGTAGCATTATTCTGACACGGAGCACTGCTACACTCCTCCACGTTGACTTCACAGAGTACACCCGTATAGCCTGCTACACACGTGCATTCAAACCCATCCACCAGGTCTACACATGAGCCGTTATTGCCACACATCACGCCCAGACAGTCATCCACATTTTGCTCACAGAACAGGCCAGAAAATCCCGGAGCACATGTGCATGCGTAGGAATCGACACCATCCGTACACGTTGCTTGGTTCAGACATGGATTCCCGGAGCAGTCGTTAATGTCATTGCTACAGAGTGTGCCGTTGTAACCTGGATGACACTGGCATTGGAAAGCGTTGATTTCATCCACACATGTTGCATTGTTCTGGCAAGGTTTTGGTGCACATTCATTGATATTGACATCACACATAGTGCTAGTGAAACCAGCATTGCACAGGCATGCAAAGCCGGCGATTTCATCCACACATGTTCCATTGTTCTGACATGGAGCTGACAGACATTCATCAATCGTCACGCTACACTCTGGTCCTGTATATCCCGCAAAGCAAGTACATTGGAATCCACCATGAGTGTTGTCACAGTTACCACCCAATCCTGAGCAGTTGTGAGCACCAGTTTGACATTCATCATTATCACTCTGACAACGTACACCCGAGAAGCCAGTCAAGCAGCTGCATGTGAATCCTGCAGTCTGATCGATGCAGGTACCATACACGCATGGACTTGAAGTACACTCATCAATATCAACATCACAGATTGGCCCTGTATAGCCGGGGAAGCACATGCATTCAAATCCACCGTCCAGGTTGATACAGACGCTGGTGTGGTTCGTGCAATTGTGTGTACCGAGCAGACATTCGTGAAGGTCGTTTTCACACTGAAGTCCAGTGTACCCACTGAAACACTCGCATGCATAGCCAGCAATCTCATCCCTACAGGAGCCATTAAGGCATGGCTCAGACGAACATTCGTCAATCTCAATATCACAGTGTTGACTGGTGAAGCCAGCAATGCATTCACACGCATAGCCTGCGATCTGATCTCTACACGAGCCATTGAAGCAGGGTTCGGAGGAACATTCGTCAATCTCAATATCGCAATGTGGACTGGTGAATCCGGCCGTGCAATTACATGAATAGCCTGCGACCTGATCTCTACAGGTCCCGTTGTTGACGCACGGCTGCGAGGCACATTCGTCTATGCCCACATTGCATGCTAGACCCGTGAAGCCCGGCGAGCACGGACACTCGTAGCCACCCACCGTGTTACTGCAGTGGCTGTTGGTGTCGGGACAGGTGTATAAGCCAAGCACACATTCCTCTATGTCACTCTCACACTGTAATCCCGTATAGCCGCTGTAGCAATCACAATAGTACCGGTTGACCAGGTCCCGACAAGTGCCGTTGAAGCAGGGATTTGAAGTGCACTCGTCAATGCCGACCGAGCATGTCGCACCGGTGTACCCCGGACGGCAGTCACACACATACCCGCCGACAATGTTACGACAATCACTACCAGCGACGAAGCAGGCGTGCATGCCCGTCAAGCACTCATCAAGATCACTCTGGCATCGTGAGCCAGTGTACCCGCTTGAACAGTTGCAGGCGTACCCAGCAACTAGATCCACACAAGAGCCATTGAAACAGGGCATTGACAGGCATTCGTCGATATTGACCTCGCATACCGAGCCTGTGTATCCGGCGAAGCACATGCAGTCGAATCCGCCGTCAAAGTTGACACACTCACTGGCATGGACTGTGCAGTTGTGTGTACCGAGTAGACACTCGTGTATATCGTGATCGCAACGCAAGCCATTGTAGCCACTGATACAGTCGCAAGCGTATCCCGCTATCTGATCCATGCAAGTACCGTTGATACAGGGACTGGAAGAGCATTCGTCAACTTCAATATCACAGAGCTGTCCAGTGTACCCCGCCGAGCAAGAACACTGGAATCCCCCGTCGGTGTTGACACAGCTGCTGGTGTTTGCGGAGCAGTTGTTGTGAGTCGGTACTGAGCATTCATCTATGTCATGTTGGCACTGCAGGCCGGTGAAACCAGGCAAACAGTGACATATGTAGCTGCCCACATGGTCAGAGCACGAGCCATTCCATCGGCACGGCTCAGAGAGACATTCGTTCACATCAATATCACACACGAATCCTGTGTAGCCGGCGAAGCAGGCGCACTCGAATCCGCCGTCCACGTTGACACAACTGCTGGTACCGTTTGTACAGTTGTCCAGCTGTTGCTCACACTCGTTTAAGTCACTCGCACACCGTGATCCCGTATAGCCGCTGTAGCAATCACACTCATACTTGGCTACTTGGTCCCGGCAGGAACCGTTGAAGCAAGGACCAGACAGACACTCGTCAATGTCGACATCACAAAGCTGGCCCGTGAATCCGGCAAAACAGGCGCATCCAAATCCACCGTCCGTGTTCACACAGCTGCTAGTGGCACTAGTACAGTTATTAGTGGTGTTGCCTAGACTACACTCATTCTCATCCATACATGATACTCCATCACCAGTGTACCCACTCAAGCACTGACACTGGTAACTGCCCACTGAGTCAGTACACATTGCAACCGCTGAGCAATTGTGCAGGTCACGCGTACATTCGTCAATATTCCCACACTCGGCACCGTCGCCTTCGTAGCCATGGTTACACATACACAGGAAGTGACCGGCCACGTTTGTGCACGTGGCATCCGACGAGCAGTTGTGCAGGCGTGTGTCGTTACACTCCACGATGTCCTGGCAGAAGCCGCTGGTGCCGTTGCCGAAATAGCCGCGATTGCAGGTACACGTGTAACTACCGTCCGTGTCTGCACAGCTGGCATTTCCGTCACACGTATCCACGTCAAGCAAACACTCATTGATGTTTCCACAGATACGACCTATGCCGGAAGTGCCAGAGCTTGACCCAGAGCTTGACCCAGAGCTGTTCGGATCCGGCTCGGCATACCCGGAGAGACATTGACACGAGTAACTCCCCATTGTGTTTGTACACGTTGCCATGGTATCACAATCATGGCCGCCTGTCGAACACTCATCAATGTCAGAGCAATGTTGACCAGTTCCCGTGTACCCGATCAGGCAAGTGCAGCTGTAGTTACCGATGATTTCCGTACACTGGGCCTTCTGCGAACAGTCATGAGTACCAAGCATACACTCCGGGATGTCAGAACAGACTTGTCCGTTGCCAGTGAATCCACTCAAGCAAGTGCAACTGTAGTTTCCAATATGTTCCACACACGTGGCATTCTCCGAACAGTCGTGAAGACCCAATGAACACTCAGGAATGTCAGCACAAGTTTGCCCGTCTCCAGAGAAGCCGTTCACACACTCACAACTGTAGTTACCAATGATTTCTGTACACTTGGCATCTCGCGAACAGTCATGGGTACCTAGCGTACATTCAGGGATGTCAGAGCAGGTGCGCCCATTTCCAGTAAATCCACTCAGGCATTTGCAAGTGTAGTTACCGATGATTTCCGTACACCTGGCATTTTGCGAACAGTCATGGGTACCGAGCATGCATTCCGGAATGTCTGAGCACACCTGGCCATTTCCACTAAATCCACTCTGGCAAGTGCAATTGTAGCTGCCAACAAGTTCAAGGCAAGTGGCATTCTCCGAACAGTCATGGGTACCTAGCGAACATTCAGGAACGTCGTAGCAGATCTGCCCATTTCCTGTGAAGCCACTCAAGCATTCACAACTGTAGTTACCGATGATTTCCGTGCATGTGGCGTTCTGCGAGCAGTCATGGGTACCTAGCGTGCATTCAGGGATATCAGAGCACACCCGACCATTGCCAGTGAATCCACTCACACATTCACAACTGTGGTTGCCGATGATTTCCGTACACCTGGCATCTGGCGAACAGTCATGGGTACCTAGAGTGCATTCAGGAATATCAGAGCACACCCGACCATTACCAGTGAATCCACTCTGGCAAGTGCAGTTGTAGCTGCCAACAAGTTCAAGACAAGTGGCATTCTCCGAACAGTCATCAAGCCGAAGAGAACACTCAGGTATGTCGGAGCAGGTGCGCCCGTTTCCGGTAAAGCCCTTTAGACACTGGCAGCTGTAGCTACCAATGCTTTCCACACACTGGGCATCAGGCGAACAGTCATGGGTTCCAAGTGTGCATTCGGGAATATCAGAACAAACTTGTCCACTGCCTATAAAGCCACTCAAGCACGTACAGCTGTAGTTGCCGTGGACTTCTACACATACGGCATTCTCTGAACAGTCATGAAGATCCAACGAGCATTCAGGAATGTCGTTGCAGACTTGTCCATTTCCTGTGAAGCCGTTCAAGCATTCACAACTGTAGTTACCGGTGATTTCTATGCATGTGGCATTCTCCGAACAGTCGTGAAGACCGAGCAAACATTCAGGAATGTCAGCACAAGTTTGCCCATCTCCAAAGAAACCATTCACACATTCACAGCTGTAGTTGCCAATGATTTCCGTACACTTGGCATTCGGCGAACAGTCATGGGTACCTAGCGTGCATTCAGGGATGTCTGAGCACACCCGACCATTGCCACTAAATCCGCTCTGGCAAGTGCAATTGTAGCTGCCAGCAAGTTCAAGGCAAGTGGCATTCTCCGAACAGTCATGGGTACCTAGCGAACATTCAGGAACGTCGTTGCAGATCTGTCCATTTCCAGTGAAGCCATTCAAGCATATACAACTGTAGTTACCGATGATTTCCGTACACAATGCATTCTGCGAACAGCCATGAGTACCAATTGTACATTCAGGAATATCGGAGCATACTCGTCCATCCCCGGTAAAACCACTCAAGCAAGTACAGGTGTAATTACCCAAGGTTTCCGCACACGTGGCATTCACCGAACAGCCATGAGTACCTAACGAACACTCTGGAATATCCATGCAGACTTGGCCATTTCCGGTAAAGCCACTGAGGCATTCACAGCTGTAGTTTCCGATTATTTCCGTACAATGGGCGTTGACTGAACAGCTGTGCAGACCAAGCGAGCATTCAAGAACATCGGAACAGACACTGCCATTGCCAGTAAAACCACCAATACATTCACATATGTAGGATCCATTTGTGTTGGAGCAGGTAGCTGTGAGCGGTGCACACTGATGTAGACCATCGGTACATTCGTTTTCATCAAGACATGTCACACCATTACCACGGTAACCATTTAAACATGTGCATTCGTAGCAGCCGACAGTGTTTGTGCAGATAGCGTTGACACTGCAGTTGTTCACTCCTGTAGCGTTGCTGCTACTGCTGTTGAAGCTGGTAGTACATTCGTCAATGTCTTGACAGATTGTATGTGTGACTGCCTCGTAGCCAGCAAGACACTGACACAAGAAACCGGGTACGGTGTTCACGCAGATGGCGTTGGCACTGCAGCTACTGCTGTTGCTGTTGTCACTGGTGGTAGTGTTGCTGATGCTGCTGCTACTGCTGTTACTGTTGCTGACACACTCGTCAATGTCCAGACAAGCTGTGCCATTACCTGCAGACCATACAAAGAAGAGCACCGAGAAGCCACGTAGGATACTTCAGTAGACAGTTGTCTAAGTTCCTGAGCCTGCATATAGTGCTCTCTGTCCAGTGGACAGAGCCAGTGTATTACAATGATCACACAGCAATGAAGCACACAAATCTTTTTTCCGCCGTTACTCGGAGTTTCGTGTGAAAACACTCATCAGACAGCTGCTGTCTGCAGTCTGACGAGGCTTTCATTGCTGTGTAATCATTGTATGATACTTACGTAAATGGGTAACACTTTTTTTCTTTCTTTTTTTACCTTTTCCGACCAAAATCGTGGGTTTCCCTAGGATGATAATGATGATATTGAGTTCCATGATCTGGAAATCCCATGATGAGAAAAAAAACCGTTGAGCTCAAACTCAATGCCAGAGGCTCATAAACGTAGCTGGGAATTTCCCCTTCCTTTGAGTGGATATTTCTAATTTCTATCGATGAAACTGACGAGGAGTTGTTAACTAAGAGATACATGTAGCAGTATTGTGGGGAAATGAACGGATTTTTGTCATGACGTGTACAGTGTTTTACTCTCTCATTGTTTTTTGATCCACGTGTTATGGTATGTATATTTCCTGTGTGGCATTTTATTTTTTTCACGGAGAAGGCGGAGAGGCCGAACGTGCCGGTTTTCAATGAATTGTTTTGAGTTTTGACCGCACAAAAGGCGATTTTGAGTACATTTCTTAACCCTTTCACCCCCAGCATGTGCCTCGAAAACTTGCCTGATTTCCCAGTGTTTGTGCACGCACGCACTGGATCCACTCAGATCGACTCAGGTCGATCAAACTCAGCACTTCACTCACCAGTCGCTCGATTTTTACGATCTTGGGCTCTCTGTAAAGCTGAGAGTCTTCTCTATCGATCAAACGTGTCCAGGAAGAAACAGGCACAACAATGATACCTGCATACACCTCGCAAGCTGCCTCACGATGCCGGCAAAACGGCGATCCACCTCCCACAGATTATTTCGGTTTGCAGCTCAAACTGTACGTAGACTGAATTTGATCTGGACTCACCTCAAATTTCATAATTCTTCGGGTCATAACTTTAGTCTCCTTTTGACGATTTTTTCAATCTTGGGCTTCCTGGAAAGCTCGTCGCAAGAGACATTGAGCCCACACTTGCCACCACGAAGGTCAAAACGCCATCGCTACAGCCCAGCGTTTTAGCTGCAACGCCAATATTCTGACAGAAGTCGTCTTGTATCAGCCATTTCGTTCTCCTCGCTCGTAACAACTAACTGTTACTTCAAAAACATTCACAAACTGCCATGAGTCTGTTTGCCATTTTGAATGTGTCTCTACGTCACTGCATGCCCAGAATGATGGGGAAATCCCACATTCAAATCTGCGCAAGCGGCTATTGAGCGACATTTGCCGTGGTTCGACTTTCGAGCTTTGCAACTCTGGAATCGCACATCGGAGCGCTTCAGCGATTCTTTCAATGGACAGCTGGGAGTTTTCTCTTCGACCTACATATTTTATGAAGTTGATTGCTCCAACGAGGAACACACGCTTCTGATTATCACCTCCGAAGTCGCAACTTCTAAGTTCCTACATATTTTAGTTTTTGGAAATAACTGGAATAACTGAGTTTACGATCAATTGAAATTTTAAAAAGTTTCGATCTCAGGGGATCGAAAGTTGTAAAGTCCGTACACAAACGGTTACATATTCTCTATTGTGATGTATTTTCCAACTGATGATCGTCGCAAGAAAACGTTCTTGGAAACCTTTTTGACCTACCTACCTTGCCTTGTGTGTTTGAAGTATGAGTGCGCAGATTATTTTATTCATAGCATTATTAAGATTGTTATCTACACGTAGATTTTTTTTGTTAGACTCACCATATAATCCAGCTGGACAGACGTCACATACTGTGCCATTGCCGACAAAGCCAACTTGACACGTGCACAGACGAGACCCGTCAGTATCCGTGCAGTTTGCGTGGACGTCACAGCCTCCGTTGCTGGCACTCAGCGCAATGCACTCGTTGATGTTAGTACAGTTAGTGCGTGTTACGGATGAGGGGCTGGTGTCTGCATCACATGCAAGTGTATACACATGCATACACGCATACAGACATGTACACATACACACACACACCCGCACACACCCGCACACACACACACACACGTACACACACACACACACACACACACACACACACACACATGCACGGACGTATATATGTACACACACAGTAAGAGTATGAAAAAGTGCTCAATATCCAATTTCGCGGGAGGGGGGGGGGAGGGGGGGGGGGGAGCAATGAAACATGTCAACAAACAATGCATGGCCAGCAATCGAGGACATCTGAGAGTTGTAATTTTTGTACTCCTCCGAGGTGTGATTTTTGGCGTGCTGGGCCAAGCACAAGGAAGCCATCTGCAAAAAAACTGCAGAAAATGGTTGTTGTTTGATCCTTTGGTGTAATCTTTGTTTCTAGTCGAAGCTAGAAGCTGTTTGGAGCAGAAACGCTGAAATTGACTATTTTCTGCATGTACTCATACATGTACTCATGTACTCAGGCATGCAGT